GTGCAAGTAGTAGAGTCCCAAGCTAATGAACTGCTCCACTTTCGCGACTCCACAGCGAGTGAGCAGGGTGCTGCATCCGCCCAAAAGTCTAGTTTTAACACCCACTTAGTTGAACCGCCCACCCAACAAACGTCCTCTTCGCACCTAACCAGGAGCGCTCAGTTGTTGTTTGTTGGGGCGGCGGGCGTTCAGTCATAATCATGTCAGTTTTTACCGATCGCGTTCGTGCTCATAAGTAATACTGGCCTTCTTTATTACTTTTTCTTCATGAGTAGTACGCACAGTTACATAACAGCAATCCATCTCGCATAGTAAGACTTGTTCAAATCACCAGTGATGCAATTTTTTGGTGCAAAAGCACGACGTGCAGTGCAGTCTTAAATTCGTAGCAGGGTTCTCGAAAGCTAATTTCTGTTACGAGTTTTACTTCAGTGTTTTTGTTGTTTTTTGTTTTCTTTTCCTGGCATTGAATGCGTTTAGTACTGGACTAAAAAGCGATTTGTGAGCTAGGGGTTGCACAGCAGAGTGTCCAGTTGCGAGCAGGTCCGGGAGACGTGCAACAGAATCGTCCGGGCAGCGCCCGCGGCACGCGGCGCGTCGCGCGGCGAATGACTCAGCAGCTCACTTACGTGCATTTGCTAGCCGATAGCTTTGCGACTGGAGCAAATGATTTACTACAGCGTACATCCGCAAGCAGGTTTCATCAATGATTGAAAATCTAATGATGTTTTTCTTGATAGTAACACACAATTGTTTGGCGGTTCCATAAACGCAACTTCAGGAAATAAACAGATACAAAAGAAATCAGATAAGGCCGTGATTCTCCCTATGTTTATGTGGTTCACATGATTTGCGCAGTCGCCAGCGTCAATATAATAGACGGATGGCCAAGTTTTTCTGTGAGCTGCTGTAAAAGATGACAAACCAGAGCAAATGTTAAAGACCCCAATGAATTTCGTGCTCTATTGAACTTTTTCATATTCTAACTGGAAAATTTACCGTAACTGAACACAAGACTCGATCCTGGGTGATATCAGCATTTACCTTCCCTTCATCAAAGCCTATTCCAAAGCACGCTTCGTCTTCTCGCCGCAAGTATGTCGCAGGCCACGCCCACCAGCTGCACCGGACGATTCTGTTGCTACACACCCAGCAGGTCCGGAGAACTCCTACAAGGAGGACTGTCTAGGAGCGGTTTTTTTCATGGTAATTAGAGCTCCGTTTTGCTCAGCCACTGGTTTGTAACTGAATACCCATTATCATGAAATATTTGATCGCGGGAATGCCCTCGAGAATATCGTCACTTTGAGAGGATTATTATACGAGCTTCTACAAAGTCAACCTCAGGAAAATGCGCGGTGCTTTTTGAATAACTTTTTTTCAACACATTCATGTATGTCGATATTCACCTTCTCTGTTCCCACATTCTTTCTGGGTGGACAGTACCATCCAGAAAGAATGTGGGAACAGAGAAGATGAATGTCGACATACAAAACAATTTCCGTGAGATGTCATCATGATGCAGTTTACCTTTTATACAATTAATGCTTTATTACCGGCATTTAGTTTGACGAATACGCTAATATGATAGAAGTCTGAAAAAATGATTGCGCAAATCAATACTAAGAATAACCTCAGATCATATTTGATGAAATCAAGTGAGCTTGAGAGAATTCTAGATGGAATGATGTACAACGGCCTCGAATTGTCGTAATTCAGTGAGGTCTTTCATGGCAACATGGCCATTCCTATCGGATACCCATCGGCCATTCATTCCGGGTATCCTTGAAGTTGGCTTGCCCCATGTCATTCCACGGAACAGTAACACTTCATCAACTGAAATCGACATTTTGGTGATGATCATATGTGATCCACATTTAACTATTGAGAACGTTTTAGGCAAAATATAACTATAATGAATACAGCAACGAAACCTTAGTTACTCATTATTGATCTCAAAAATTATAATTCATGACCAATGCTCCTACCTATCCTACGTATTGAATGAGATAGGACAGCAGTCTCACAGCGACATGGTCGCCATCTGACATTTATCACATTACCGATCCTACGGCAGCGCTCATATTTCGCGACAACGAGCGTCGACGCGCTATGACGCACTGTAACAGGCGTCGACGCGCTACACTTGC